ATATGAAGAAATGTTCACGATCACTATCCATTAGAGATGCAAATCAAAACAACAATGAGAAATCATCTCACAACAGCAATAACAGTAATGATTAAAAGAGTTGTTGTTGTTGTTGTCAGGTGCCATCGAGTCGGAACCGACTCATAGCGACTCCATGCACAGCAGAACGAAACAATGTTCGATCCTGGGCCAACCTCACCACCGCTGCCACCCCCGAGTCCATCAATGATGCCACCTGGCCGATCCATCTCGTTGGAGGTCTTCCTCTTTTTCTCTGACCCTCCACCCTACCCAGCATGACATCCTTCTCCAACGATTGTTTCCTCCGGACTACATGTCCAAAGTAGGAGAGACGAAGCTTAGCCATCCTGGCCTCCAAGGAGCACTCTGGCTGCACTTCTTCCAAAACAGATCTATTGGTTCTTTTGGCAGTCCATGGCACCCTCAGTATTCTCCTCCAACACCACAACTCAAAGGCATCAATTCTTCTACGATCCTCTTTATTCCCTGTCCAGCTTTCGCATCCATATGAGGCTAGATTAAAAGAGTAGAGGACAGCAAATGCTGTCAAAGATGCAGAGAGCCTGGGACCCTCATCCATTGCTAGTGGGATCTCACAATGGTCCAACCACTCTGGAAAGCAGTATGATGCTTCTGCAGAAAGTTGAAAATAGAAATACCTTATGATCCAGCAATTCTCTACTTGGTATCCCCAAGAAATATGAGCCATAACACAAGTAGATACATGCACACCAATGTTCATAACAGCACTATATACAATAGCAAAAAGATGGAGACAGCCTAAATACCCGTCAACTGGAGAATGGATAAACAAACTGTGGTACATACACACAATGGAATATTATGCTACCTTGAAGAATAACAAGGAAGCTGCAAGCCATCACATCACATGGATGAATCTTGAGGACATTATGCTAAGTGAAATTAGTCACAAAAGGAGAAATACTGCATAGGGCCATTATTGTAAAAAAATTAAGAAAAATTACCTATACTAAACGGGGGAAACAAATTCTTTGTTGGTTACCAGGATGTAGGGGGTGTGGCAAGGGGAGGAAAGGGAAGGGGTAGCACAGGGAAGGGAATAGACACAGGATAGTTTGGGTGCTGGCGGGGGGGGGGCAATACACAAGAAGTGGGAGGGGAAGAACAAGATGGATGGGAGAACATTTAGGCAGGTTTGCATGGGCTAAGTGGGACAGAGGTAAATAGTGATGTATGCTTAACCTTGGAACAACAGGGCTCTGGGATACAGGGATTGAGACATGGTTTCAATGGGTAAAAGAGGGGAAATAATGTTAAGATGTCTTTTGAATCTTGGTTTCCCTTGGCTACTGTCGTAAAATAGATACTTGAGGGGGAGAGAAAGGAATAGCCAGAAACATCACCGTAGAAAGCTTGTAAGTCTGTCTTCAGACTATAACTGATTGGAATACCTAAAAGTGGGTCTAGAACATGCCCAGTGAAAGAAGCTTCCTGCAGAGCCTTTGCATTGCAGAAGAACATAGGTGGAATCCTGATCCCCTCCATAATCTTCTGAAGTGGAAAATTTCCACTTGAAAAGACAAACAGACCAGCCTGGAGCGACTAGAAGAACAGAAGCTACTTCTTGAAAGAAATACCAGCAGGAAAAAAAACACACCAAAAAAACAATAACAGCAGTCTGACTGACTACTACAAGAACAAGCAAGTTGTTCGCTGGGGAGCCATCAAAGCAAGCAATCAATTTTCCTCAGGGCAACCCCCACCCCACAAGACTGAAACTCAAAGGGAATACATGAGCAGGCATGTAATCTTGCTGGTGGCCAAGTTGGTCTGCTGATAAGGGGAAGTGGGGGGAAAACAGCAATGAAGTTGTGAGCGGAGTCCAACCACATTTAATAGACTTCCACCAACCTGGATTGACAGCAGTATAGCGAGACCTGGGGACTCCTGAGTCCAGGGACAAGGACATAGCCACAGAGGACTAGAGTGGAGAGTGAAGCGTCCAACTGATATGAAGTGAAGGGAGATGCACAAGAATGTCCATACTTGCAGATAGTACCCATTTGACCTAGCTTCAATGGCTGAATGATCAGAACTTGACTAGAGGGAAGAAAGAATGGGGGGAAAAAGTGTAATCCACTACAATTTGATGAACTTGACCTATACTTATGGTTGTAGTAGCTCAAAAGAGGGAACGAATCTTTAAAGCAAGGATCATTCCCATTCCCTCAGTACACAGGGTTCACAGGGATGGGCAGCTTAGACATTGGCTACCCAAAATGGGGGGCTACAAAGGCATGAAGTGACTGGCTTACAAGCTTTCAAGAGGGAGCTTAGTTTCAGAGGGTGTGAGGGAAGGTAGAATCTCCACTGAGTGGTTTCCAACCTGTCTGGCTGGGGCTGGTGAAAGAAGATGGGAATAAGAATCTCATGGTTCAATAGTGAATAATTGCTATCAGGACTGATTGTGAATTTTGCAAATGTAAAGGTAGACATTTTGTAACAAAAGGAGGGGAGTGGTTGACCTTGCAGTCCAGAAGCAGAGGACCCTGGGACCATCAAGGAAGATGAGTGCAGCATGGGATCCTATCCAGAGTAGCAGGGACCCCAGAGATGGAGGCAGACAATGATGTGGAGAGATAGACCGGCTGGGGACTCTGGACTCAGAGAGACAGAGGGGCTGTGTGCTGATGGCCAGTGGACAGGCTTGTGGGGTGTGCCCTTTGGTTGTTTTTGGTTGTTTGAATAGTTATATATTCCTGAGTGCTTTGGTGTACACCCCCAAAAAAAAACAAAAAAACCAGAGTGAATGAAAGCAAATGCAGTTGAATAACGATGCATGGAGGGGATTGTAATCATTGCAATGAAATGAAATACAGTAGGATGAATGTAAAGCTGATGCTCTCCCATGTAAACTATCACTTAATTCACAATCAAAAAGAAAAAAGAATACAACCCTGGAGCACCTGTTTAAAATTTTAAACCATTCTCCTTGTTCTGTTGGAATGACTGCCTGTTGGTCTATGTACAGGTTCTTCATGAGCACAATCAATTCTTCAGAATACTATCCATAGCTTGTCATGATCCATACAGTCAAAAGCCTATGAATAGCCAATAAATCATAAGTAATCATCTTGATGGTATTCTCTGCTTTAGGTCAAGATCCAGCTGACATCAGCAATGATATCCCTAATTCTACATCCTTTTCTGACTCTGTCTTGAGTTTCTGGCACTTTTGTAACTGTTTTTAAATTATCTTCAGTAAAATTTTATTTGCATTTGATATTAATGATATTGTTCCATGATTTCTGCATTCTATTGGATCACTTCTCTTTGGAATGATCATAAATATGGATCTCTGGTTGGCCAGTTTCATCAGTTCCTGGAACCTTGTTTTTTTTGCCAATACTTTCAGTGAGGCTTGGACATCTTCCATCAATACCATTTGTTCTTGATTATAAGCTACCTCTTGAAATTGTTGAATATCAACCAATTCTTTTTGGTATAGTGACTATATACCTTCCATCTTCGTTTGATGCTTTCTGCATCATTCAATATTTTGCCCATGGAATCCTTCTATATTTCAAGTTGAGGCTTGAATTTTTTCTTCAGTTCCCTCAGCTTAAGAAATGCTGAGTGTGTTCTTCCCTTTTGGTTATCTAACTCAAGGTCTTTGCACATTTCATTAAAACACTTGACTTTGTTTTCTATCTATACCCTCTACCCTATTCATACTAAATAGATATCGAGCCTCTGTCGACACTTCAACGTATGGGGAATCCTTTATAGACTCCATTTAGGGAGCTACTGTTATTTCCTTGTAGTATCCATTATGGTACCTGCTCCTATCTTTAAAACCACAAACACATTCAACCATTATCTACATGGTAGGCCTGCAAACGCTTAACAGTTTCCACCATATTTTGAAATCGCTTCTCAGCTAAGTATTAGTCTCCTTTTACCCACTCCTCAGATGGCATAACATAATTTTGAACTCACTCTTTCTCTATGGCAGTAAAATAACAGTTATAGCCATAAACCAGAACTGAAATCCGTAGGACACCCTGCCACGAGATAGGAAAGTTTTGCCAGTCAAACTATCATCTTGGTGCCCAGTCTAGTGAGAGTTAAACCTTTAAACCACTTCACCTGCCCACACCACCACCACCAGTTCGCTCATGTCTACTTACTATAATAGAAATTACCATGTAGTGGAAGTACCTAGGATTTCTATGGATGACTCAAGTCTTGAGTTAGAGACAGTAGGATCCACCCAAAGACAGTGTCTACTCCTCAGGGATTTGGGGAATCTGCCTGCATGAAGGATGCTGGGACCCCAGGTCAAAAGGACTACCATATTTCCATAATTTAAAGTCATTAGGAATCTGGAGGTAGCAGGTCTATGGACTTTTCCTTTCCTTTTGTAATTTGCTTTGAAATCGATGAAAAAATATTCTCATTCAGAAAAATGTCATGAATGAGTAACACAAGAGAAAAGATCATGAGAAAACAATTAGAAAAAATATCATACTAGTAGCCGAAGAAATAAGAATTGAAGTGACCTTTTGGTATAACACCAGATTAAGAAAGAAAATTTATATGCTTGGTGGTGCAGTAATTGGACAATATCCAGACTCCAGATGGAGTCAGGTTCTCCAGTTGTCCTCATAGCTGTGAAAGCACTGGGGAAGAGTCAGGCAGGTGGATGCATACTAGAAATGCTGAGCCATCCAGGAAACAGGGGTGTCTTACTTTGTAGTCAAGACTCAAGCCTAACCTAACCAGTTGCTGGCAAGTTGGCTGATCCATGCTGAGCCCATGAGTGTCAGAGAAGGAGTGTTCTCCATAGCATTTTCCATGGCTGATGTTTCAGATATAGATTGCCTGGGCTTCCTCCCAAGGTGCTCTGGGTGCTAATAAACCTTTTGCTTAGCAGTCAAGCACATTAACTTTTGCATCACCCAGAGACTCTGTAGTCAAAACTAGGGCAGACTTACTTTGAGGAAATGAGTTTTGATCTTCCCGCAGTGTTTTCCCATTTGCTCCTTGACGGGGGAATAGAGCAGGTCTTTGGAGGGGATGCGGGCATATGCCACTCTCTTGTTGTTGCTCAGCATCCATATGAAGACATCAGGGATGGTATGCTGTGGCTGTGAAACAGAGGAGAACAGGATGTGACAGATATTCAACAAGTGGAGTTCTCCTATCCTGAAGCAGACCCTCTTCTCCTGCAAAAACAAGTTCTGTGACTTAAAACACTTAACCAATAATGCAAGTTAAGTTGAGCTTCTTGGAGGAAGGAAAGCTTTCAGGTAGCGATGAACAGTGAATGTAAACCTCCTTTGCCAAATTATTTACTGTGTTGGAGGATATGTAAGTTGGATGTATGATTTGGCATATCGGTAGTTTATTTTTCTCCATCTATAGAACAACATTTTTCTGTAACTTTTTCTGTTTTAAAATCTTCTAATGGATAATTTCACTTGAAGAACTAAGTAACATTTCCAGAACATTCAAATAAAAAAACCAAAATGAAATTCATGAATGTCTTTCCATTGCAATTATGGAATGAAAAACAGTTCTACATGGGACCTGAGATTTAAAATATGATTGATCGTCAAGTATTTTAGCTCCATTTTAGGTGGCTCTGGTAGTGTAGTGGTTACGAATCGGGCTGCGAACCGCAAGGTCAGCAGTTTGAAACTACTAGCTGTTCTGCGGGAGAAAGATGAGGCTTTCTGCTCCCGTTAAGATTTACAGCCTCGGAAACCCTGTTCAGGGTCGCTATGGGTTGGAACCGACTCGATGGCACTTAACAACAACTGAGGAGAAATGATTGAATTATACAGGAAAAAACTCAACTTTTAAAGTGAGTTTTAATCAAGGTAAGAGCTGCAGCATTCCCCACCAATTGGCCCATTGTATTGTATTTGAAATGCACATTTCTGAATCAACACAACTACCAAAGCAAAAAGGAAGGGATGTTATCAGAAAGTAGTTTTGTCATTCCAAGACTAGAAGCAGATGGTTCTCCTAACTCCACAACACTCCACAACACTAAGGTATAGCCCAAAGAGGGTCAACACTTTCGTCTTGATATGGAAATACAGACACTGGTATAGAGGTTTTCCAGGCCACGCAGTCTGTCAGGTACAGCCCTGAAGTTTCAATGTCTGATTGGAACCTTTTCAATGTGTATTAAAATTCCTTCATCAACTGCCTGCTTGCCTCATTGCTTGCAATGCCTCCAGGGAATGATTGATGTTTGACAACAAATACAACCTTAAAGAATACAAAAAATAGTAAACCTGTACCTATCCCTGAATCTTCCCCACTTAACATCCAATTTCAGAAGTTTCCACACATTCTCAGACTTCAGAAGGAACCCCAGTGTCTGAAAAATGCACACACACGAAGACTTTTCTAGGACCATCGTACATGTCAGCAGAAGGCATGTTTACAAGTTACTAAGATAAAAAGTGGTTGACCTTTACTGGTCATGATTTTAACCCGACTATCAGTTGAAAACTTATCAGAGGTACAAGGCTTATCTGGGCTTTTCCTGAATCCACCAGAAAACATACTCTTTATTTCTGCTAATATTCAAGCTTTGGAAGAAATCAATATGGCTGTGCATGTTTGGCTAATTACTCTTTAACTAACAGTGCCAGCTCAGCTCAACAGGGTTTAGGATAAAGCAGTGCTCTGTATTCACCCTTACCAAACATCCAGACCTCACCAGAAAGGCATTATTAGGTTTAATTTTCCAAGGTTTGCCTTTTGAATTGATTACCTCGTCAACAAGAAAGCGGATCTTTTCCACAAAGTTTTGGGCTTTGGTGATCACTTCATCGAGAGGGAGTTTCTTCTGTTGTTGCTGAAGGATCCCTTTAGCCTCCTTGGTTATTGCCTCCTAAAACAAGAAAGCAGTTAATGAAGATCTTTTTTAAAAATCTGGACAATAAGCCCTGGGCTGGGCTGGGCTGTGCTGTGCTGTAGAGCGCTGCTGGTTGCTTGTAAGTTCTATACTTGTAAGTCACTCACATGGACTGTTCCAGGCTCTGCCTCTGGGCACACTGCCCTTTGCATAGACATTTCATAGGAATATGGAAGCATAGACTATCATCTGAAAAATGGAGGCTCAGAAAGGCCAGAATTTTGTTAGCCCCATGCAAAACCAGGCTTTCTAATATGCAAAAACAACAATAGCAGTTAGAATTCATTCCAAAGATTTAAAAAGAATGAAACAACAAATGGCCTGATTAGGATTGGTTTAGAAACCAACCACTAGGATTGAGTGGGGAAGATGGATGGGAAAAGCACTGTTGCATCAATCCAGGCCAGGCATGCTGAGAAACTAAGATCCCCCGTATTTCTAGGGAATGAAGAAGTGGAGTAAACACCAAAGCCTTTCAGGATCAGAATCAACAAGACCTGGCAGATGATGAATAGAAGAATTCAAAACCGACTCTTAAACTTCTGCCGGACATAAGTATGGCTGGCAGTGCCAATGCAGGTGAGAAGACCAAGAGTCCACTAGGATATATCAAGTTTGAGGGGCTGGGCAGTGAGCAGGTGAGATGTCTTCAAGGAGGTTGAAAACAGGTTTGCAGGTGAGGAGATAGAATTGGGTCACTATAAAGATGCTAGTGGGTTGTTGAAATCATAGATTTGTTCAGGTCAAGGCCTGCTGGACAAAAAGACACTAGAATTTTTTGGACAATAGGTAGTGAGTAGACATTGCAGAAACAGGAACGGGCAGTCAGAGATGCTACAACAAAGGATTATTGCTGATGTCAAGTGCTGCTGAGTCCACTGCGAATCATGGCAGCCTCATGTGACAGAGTAGAATTGCTTCTTAGGACATCCTAGGCTAATTTTATGACAGTAGATCAGCAAGTGTTTTCTCCCATAGAGCAGCTGGTGGAGTCAAACTGTCCAACTTTTTCACAAGCATATGAGGCTATTGAAAACAACATGGTTTGGGTCAGGTGCCTATTAGTTCTCAAACCGACATCTTTGTTCTTTAACACTTTCAAAGAGGTCTTTTGCAATGGATTTGCCCAAGGAAATGTCATTTGATTTCTTGACTGTTGCTTTCACAAATGTTGCGTGGATCCAAGTTAAATGAATTCTTTGACAACTACAATCTTTTCTCCATTTATCCTGATGTTATTTATTGGTTCAATTGTGAAGATTTTCATTTTCTTTACATTGAGGTATAATCCACACTGAATGATACAGTCTTTTGAGAGCTTCACCAGTAAGTACTCGAAGTCTTCTTTGCCTCAGCATGCAAGATTGTGTCATCTGCACATTAAAAGTTAATTACTCACCCTCCAATCCTGATGCCATTTTCTTCTTCATATCATCTAGAGTTTCTGATTATTTGCTTGGCATACAGATTTGTAAAAGTGTACAACCCTGACACACGCCTTTCCTGATTAAACCATTCAGAATTCCCTTGTTCTGTTCCAACAACTGCCCCTTGGGCCTATGTACAATTTCCTCATCAGCACAGTTAAGAGTTCTGGAATCCCCATTCTGCATGAAATTCCCATTCTGCACAATGTTATTCATAGTTTATTATGATCCACATGGTTGGATACATTTATATAGTTAATAAAGCACATGTAAACATCTTTCTGGTATTCCCTGCTGTTAGCCAAGATCCATATAACATCAGCAATGATATCCCTAGTGCTCTTGTCCTCTTCTGAATCTGATTTGAATTTCTGAAAACTCACTGTCAATATACTGTTGCAATAATTTTTGAATTATTATCAGCAAAATTTTACTTGCATGTTTAATGATATGGTTCAATGATTTCTGTATTCCATTGGGTCATTTTTCTTTGGAATGGGCACACATTTGGATTTTTTCCCTTTGGCTGGCCAGGTCTTCCAAATGTCTTGACATAGACGAGTGAGCACATCCAGTACTACATCAGTTTGTTGAAACATTTCAATTCCTATTCTGTCAATTTCTGGAGTCTTGTTGTTTGCCCATACAGTCCTTGACAAAATACAAATGTCAAGAAAAAAGCAAGGGGAAAATCCATCAGAACAGGAGGTAGGACAGATGGATTTCTAGCTCACATATGATGTCATTGTTGTTAAGTGCTGTCGAGTTGATTCCGACTTATAGCTATCCCATACGGTGTTTCCGAGGAGTGGCTGGTGGGCTTGTGGTTTGTCGTCCTACAGCTCCACACCAGGAGTTCTTCATTTGTGTTAACATGAAATAATGCAAGTTCATTTCCAACTTGCCCCTGTAGTCCCTTCTCTGCCATGTCTCTACATTGTACAAACACATGACCTTCAGAACTTTATCCTCATCTGGTCTGTGGCCTAAGTCTCATCCATGATGTTTATTTTTAAAGCACATGCTTTAACTCTATTCAGAGTATAAATAGGTTTTCACATACCAGCTCCTGCCAACAGAGCGTACATCGTTTCTTATCTAACAAAGTTTGGTTCAACATCTTGGGCTTTTTTTCTGCTTCAGAGATAAAGGCACTATAAGAGAAGAATAACAAATTTGAAATCAGCTTAGTGAAATTCCATTTATATAGTTGTAGAGATTTGCTAATACACTTTCTGCAATACAATGTTAAAGTTGATAAAGTCACAGAACTGAGATTTTAAATTTAGGATTAGACAACGAGGCATTAACTTTTCTGTCAACAAAGTGAGCATCTGAAATGATGCTTAGGCCCCACATTAGTGTCAGGGTGGATATCTGCCTTTCAGTGTGTATCCTTTGTGAATATTCTCAAAATTTACAACAGGCACAAAATACTATGTGGATAATTTCCTTCATTTTATAGATTTAATATATATCAAAAGTTGTATGCAAAGGAAATATTTTAGATTCACTACTGGGGTCTCTGGTAGCGTAGTGGTTACGAATCAGGCTGCAAACCTTAAGGTCAGAGGTTCAAAACTACCAGCTGCTCTGCGGGAGAAAGATCAGGCTTTCTACTCCCGTAAAGATTTACACCCTCGGAAACCCTGTACAGGGTTGTTATGGGTCGGAACCTACTCGATGGCACTTAACAACAACAACAACAACACTGGGGTCTTAGTGTGGCACTGTAGGATAAGCACTGGACTGCAAGGTCGATTTGAACTGCATCATCAGTGGTTCAAGCTCACCAGTCACTCCTTGGAAACCCTAGACAGGGTCACTATGAGTTGGAACCTACTGGATGGCACTTAACAACAAACAACATAAACCAAGATAGGTTACCACATTTTAAAAACTTTACAAAAGACTGAGCAGTAACATTTGGGGGCATAAAATTAAAAATGTATTCAAAAGGTAAATGGTAAAGATTATTAATGCAATTTCTGAAGAAATATAAATGGTCCAAACTTTGAGAAAATAAGGTACTGTCCTCATTTGTCATAACTATCAGTCAGACAGAGGTTAAAATCTGATATTCAAGATTGGTTAAGATGTGGTAACATGGTCACTCGCCTATACTATTGTAGGAGAGTGTAACTCGTAACAATGACAACACCAACAACGTCCTGGTGTGGCACTGTGGGTTAGTGCACTGGATTGCAAGTTCGGATTGAACCGCAAAGTCAGCAGTTCAAGCGCACCAGCTCCTCCTTGGTCATCCTATACATATACTCTATGGCACTTAACAACAACAGTAATCAAAATCTAAATGTGTAAGAAGAGGTTGGGCCAGAGGAGGAGTGGAGACAGAGAGGAAATGGGACTCGATGTCAATAAGAGGACTGCAATCATTGAGAGAAAACGATGTAGTCTAAGATTTGTTGACTCTAAAACTGATGATCTGCTCTCTAAACTTTCACTCGGTTCACAATAAAAAGTTTTTAAAAACGAACAAGGGGAGCTTCAAAAACTTTATGGAAAAATGTAATGAAAACACAATGGAATTTTTCCACAAACTTTTCGAAGCCCCCTTGTATATACAATTTGACTCAAAGATTACACTAGAATTCTACCCTTCAAAAATAAATGAACAATTTTGCAGGAACATCTTTATGTAGTAATGTTTAGCACAGCATTGTTTACAATAGCAAAGTACATAGAAACAACTTAAGCATCATTGTTGCTGTTAAGTGCTGTCGAGTCAGTTCTGACCCATAGCGACGCTGTATAGGGTTTCCGAGGAGCAGCTGGTATGCTTGAACCGCCAACCTTGTGGATCAAACCAACTTTGCAGTCCAGCCTATTATCCCACAGCACCACATCAGGACTCATAAACATCATTAGGTTAAGAGTTCAGCGCCACACCAGTGCTCTTTTCCCATAGAGGGAGGGATAATGTATTTTATCATTAAAAGTGGAGTAAAGGTTTCCATTCATTCTCAGATTTTCGGAACCAGTTAAGCCTGCTGGGCAGCCTCCTCCTCTCTACATGTCCTGTCCTTGTGGGGAAGGAGGGAAGCCCTGAAGTCCAGCTGCTCAACCATGAATGGGGGGAGGGATGCAGAAAGCCCACCTTAGGTTCCAGCTGTTTTCTCAAATCCAGGTTTATCAAATAAAAAACATTTTGATTACTGTCTGACCCTTGATGATGGTGGTGGTTATGTGCCGTGGAGTCAGTTCTGACTCACAGCAACCCCTTATAGGGTTTCCAAAGCTATAAATCTTTACAGAAGCAGAAAACCTCATCTTTCTCCTGTGGAACATCTGGTAGTTTCAAATTGCTGACCTTGAGGTTAGCAGCCTAACTCGTAACCACTACGCTCCTTGTCTGACCCTTAGGAATACCTTATTCAGTTAGTTGTACCCTTGAAGGAAAAGGTATTGGGCTAGTAATTTATGGACAAACCATTATAAAGCATATAAGGTTTTAAGGATGCTTAAAGGGAATGGCAAGGAGCTCTGGTAGCGTAGTGGTTACGAATCGGGCTGCGAACCTTAAGGTCAGCAGTTCGAAACTACCAGCCGCTCCGCGGGAGAAAGAT